ATACAAAAATAGATATTTGAGAGTATATGAAGATGATAACATTATATCTTGTTGATATCCAATGGGCATGATCATCAAAAATTGAGTAATATGGGGAATGCATCTTGATTGTCATATGTTAATTATTTCAGGATGTTAGATCACGTTTTAATGAGGATTAAATAGTGCATCATTACATTGATCAAATTAAAATATCATGCTTTTAATCCATTATTAGTGGTGAATACAAGTCACGTATAGATGAGATAGAGGATAATTTTGCTTGAGAGTCCATGGTGAAAGATCAAAAATCTGCACGGTGTAGGTGCCAAAGTCCTTCTGGTTAAAAGTCAGTAAAATTTGAAGGGTTTCGTTGGTGCTTAGCGATGGTCATTGATAGAGTGTAGCTTATGATAGTGCACTAGATTAGGTGGTGCTTAGCAATGACTACTGGCAGATACATGTACTTTGAAGGATTCACCGAGTCTTGAGAATGTCAATGAAAACTATTGATTTAAGGGAAAAGTTTTTGAGCATGTTATACATATATAGAACATCATGATCATACACATGTATGGAACATATTATCTTCTGAAATGTTATCCTACTTGACTATATGTTCACCGTACGTGACTCAAGTGTTTTTCAGGTGTTGATTGCTTGTCCCAATCTTGAGACGAGGTGGTGGGATATGTGCATGAGCTAAAAAAGCTTTCTTGACTTGTAGGCCTTGGGTCATTTTTTGTAGACTGAACACCAGTTTTAATAAGGGTTGAATCCTCTAAATTGATGGAAGCATAAGGCACTTTAAATTATATACATTGTTAGTACTTCTGAATTACATACTGTATATTCACGCCACCTAGTTATTGAATATAGGATGTATGTAATTGAAGAGCCTCATGTAATGAATTTTATACATATATACACATATAAGAGAAACCCCTTTTATCTATGTTCATTATTGCCCTTATTTTATTATTTAACTACTTGTCCTCGTGGGTTGGATCTTGGAAATTCGGATGTAACATAAACACCCCCATTTTATCGATTGCTAGTTGAAAGGAACTTGTGATGATCAATTTTTCACTGATGAGTCTCAGCCCAGCTTAATCATAATTTCTGTACACTATATGTATTCAACGTTAATCATTTCAATTCATGACTTAACTTCAAAATCAAGTTTCAATTTGAATTTCTCAACATCCAAATCATTTTTCAACAATAACAAAAAAATTTCAACGGGATTTTGAATCTCAAACCAAATCAATAATCACATTTTAATTTGTCAAAATGAGGCCTCGTTTGTCAACTATACATTTTAGTCAAAAAGTCAAAAAGTTACTATAAGTTATCACATCACTCTTTCTACTTTTTTGCACATCTATTCTTAAAAATTCAAAAAGTTACTAAAATAATATGTTCCCAAACGAGACCTTAGTTCACTTTAAATTGATAATTTTACAGCAATGCAATTCTCAACCAATTGCCAGAATTTTCATGATATCTAAGATAGCCACATGTCATAAGTAGAGAAAAATCATTGAATAGTATACATGTGAATAACATCACAATTATTGCTACAATTCTTAATTTCATAATTCAGAGTTTAGAAATTTGAGACTATCTCAACATAAAGCATACTCACGTGATAAAGGACAATGGATGGTTATTGTGTGAGGGCACAATAGTCACGATTGTGCTTTAACTGGGACTCAATCTGGATTCTATCTTAATGATGTGAACTGTTTACTTTTTAAAGTCTATTGAGTAGTACATTTTGATAAAAAAAAAAAAAGTTAGTTGGATATTGATAAACTTTTTATTAGAATATATTTATATCTAAAAAATGAACGATAGGCCTGATTTTGGCTGTTAATATGAACACAAATACGAACTAATCAAAAGGCTATGGATGTCCAGTCAACTTGAATTTTTGCATGTATATATTACTCGACAACATTGGAAGGTGAATAGCTCGGATTATCTAGATAGGATTCGAAGTGGGCCCAACCAGAAGAACATCACTTATTATTGTACAATAGCCATCACACCCCCAAAATAATAAAACCCTGACCCAAGAATGAAATCCATTAAGGATTGAATATGAGAATGACGCTAAGCGAAAGCAAATCCAATTAAGAGTTTGAATAGAAATTAATATGAAATCAAAATCAAAAGGATGGTTAAACTCGTGGTTCGTTGTGCATTTCATACAAAACAAGAATTACAAAAATCTTAGACAACTTATATTCATAATTCTAGATGACATAAATATATTACATATGAATGCATCCATCAAAAATTTCTTATTCTTGCAATATAAACAAATAATTTGCCTCATGGCTTGTACAACTACAAAAGTGTATTCCCTCTATCACAACTTGATTCCCAACTATTCACAAATACAATTAAGGCCCAAAGCCATTAGATATAACAAGAAGATATTGGCATATCCTTCCCCATCCAAATATATGTATCATCATTAACGTGGTGAAGCACCATTCAAACCTAAACATTGTTAACCACAAAAGGGTGAACCGAAGTACAATAGGAAAATTCTATATTTATTTGAGATACAGTCAATTATAAATCTAAGTATTTATTGTCAAGATTTATCTTTCTTAAAAACTGCCTACTATTTAATACGTTATTTGTATAAATTGTATCTCATGCCCTTGTAAGTTTTACCTTCAAACCTAAAATTGTAAACATCTATTTCAACATTATACTCTTAGACGATGAAGTCAAAAGGAAAGTTTAGAGATCAAATGGAATGTGGTCAGGAAGAAGAAGATGATGAAGATGATAAAAGTGTTGGTGGTTCAATTCCACCAAAAATCCAACAATAACTAGTGCAACTCCAAAACGTATGTGTATCCTTATCAAACAAAAATGAACATTCAAGTAAATTACATCATTGTTGCACGTCAAAAATGCCACCCTAATCCAATCTGCAAAAAAATAAATTAAAAGTTTTAGTAATTAATCAATTATACAAAAGATTAAAAACATTAGTAACTCATCAATTTACAATTAGATCAATTATACAATTTATCCCTGTAACAGACTTTTTTTTAGATTATGAGAACAAAAAATTAATTTTAAGGCTAATTCACAAATGGTGCATCCCATTAATGTGTCGTAAGTTCATACAACTTATATTGGTCCCTCCTAAGGTGTTTCTATTGGTTCCTGTACAAATATGTAATTGTGTGATAATTTAGCATTTCGATGGCTTTTTTTGAAGCTTTAAGTATAGAGAAAAATATATATTTTTTAGACTAATTCATAATTTATACATTCCGTGCACTTGTACAAATTGGATGTCATATGCATGTTTCCATTACTTCATAATTCTTCAAACATGTATTCTTTTATAAAATTTGTTATATTAAAGTTAATATACTTTACCAAGAAGTATGTCCACTTGTGGATGAGTCCCCCCCACTTCCAAAGTGTCCAGTGAATCCTTTGGTCCTCAAAAAGTTGACAACATCAGCCATTATCTCCCCTTGCTTCTTCTTACCCTCTTCAAGATTTTCTATTTTATTGTTTTGCATTTGTATTTGTTCCTTCTGTGTCTCTATTTGCATCTCAAGGTGCTTCACATAATCATTTGTTTCAGCATATATGGTAGTGGTCCTCCTAATAGAGGATGAAGGTCTCATGCCAAGTCCCTACACATAGCCAGACCTTGGCTTTAGGACTTTGATTGATAGCTCTTCTACAGTCAAAGGGGTTGATCCCGACTGTGAGAGGTGATCAACCTGTGTCTGTATCATATTTTCTTATCAAATATAAAAAAAATTAAATAATTATTAGAAAATTAAATAAGATTATAACAAATAGTATTATAAAATTTTGTTAATAAAAATTGCAATATATACTCGCATAATTACACTGAGCTTGAGATGAGATCCACTCATGTGTTTTCTCATTATAGTGAGTTTCATTGTACAACTCTACTAGATCAGGTAGCATCTTCTTTTCTCGTGCCTAATTCAATAGTCCAAATATTCAATAAATAAAACTAAGAATCTAATATAATTCTGAAAGTGCAAGGATACGTACCAGTTTTTCTACTCTAACAGGGATTGACCTAAAACCACACCTATGTTTTGTATACATCCTTTCTCTGCTCGCGATGTTGGCATTTGATTGTTCCTATAAGGAAGAATGACCAATATAACAATGAAATGTATCATTAGTAAGACAAATATGTTGACTTTTGATTGTTCCTGTAAGAAATAATGAACCAATGTAACAATGAAATGTATCACTAGTAAAACAAATTTAAAGCTTGATAATAAAGAAATTGCATTGTTCCTCTATATCATTTTCCTATATATCATTTCAACTTAAAAAATATTTCAAATTATTCACTAGTTTCATTCAATTCTTTGAAAAATAGATTAGAGGACTTGTTGAGATTTCATCATAAGATGGTTTTTCTGGGTGAAAAAAGAAAAACGAGTAATTTACACCATTCACAAATAGGGGGCATATAAGCATGGACAAGATAGATTGTGAAAAAATCCATTTACATTTCACAAGATATGGAACAATTACTGATACCAAACTCATAACCCTTTCTTTCTTCCACAACTCTATCAAATCTAAAGTTCTGTCTCAATACCCTATATTAGTTACTTAGCTAGTTGCTTACCATTATCATGAAACTTCAGACCAAACCCAAGAACAAACAGAAAATTAATACAATCATAGAAACTGAAATCTTAGTTCTTTATTCTATGATGTGAAAGATGCACTTTAAGGAACCATAAATTAATCTCCTATTATGCGAGCCTTCCAATCCATGTTTAATAGTTTCCCTTTCTCATTTTCACACTTATTTGGTTTTTATTATGCTCCACTTACATGCCTAGAAGATAAAGGGAAAAGAACACATATGGAATTTCATAACAAATTGATTGTGTTCTTTCTAGTTTTTTTAGAATCTCTCCCTATTCTAATCAAATTCTTTCTTCGCTGATAAACTTCAACTAAATAATTAAATCAACTATCAGTTCATCAACAATGAAGAGACCAAAACCTTCAAAAGCATTATGTGAAGTTGAGCAAGCAAATTGTTCGGTGTTATAAGAGCTGTCTCAATATCTTCAGCCGAAACCTTCATCTTACTCTCAATAACAGGCTCAAAAACCTGCACAAAGTTCAGAAACCCATCAAACATGTGTTTCAGCATACAAATACCTAACCATACACATACACCATAGAAACTTACATAAATCAATGTGTTAGAAACCTGAATATGCAGCATCTATATTATCTACACTATTATATAAAGCACAAAAATTAACACTTGAAGCTTTGTCATGCTCTTTTGCTATCCGAGAATGCCTAAAAAATTGTTAACAGTTAAAATTCTAGTAACTAACAAGTTTTCAAATTTAACCTATCTTTCTCATTCATCAAAAGCCTCAAAATTTTAGATTTACAATTGCAAACAAAAACAAAATATACAGATATTGATATAGATTAAAGTACCTACATATACTTACGTACAGAAAATACATAAACATACACAGTTACAATCACACATGTTTGTATAGATGTATACAGATAGTTAAACATGAAAATAAACGCAAAAACGCGATCTTACATGCAAAAAATTAAGAACGGAGGCAAACTCCCATCGCTGTCGAAGCCTAAGCCGGGCGAGCTCCGATTCGGTTGGCGACAACTCCGACACCATTGCTAGGTCTTCTCGAGTTTCTCCTCCGGCGGCCACCGTCGGCGTCTTTCGCCGGCGATTTTCAGACATTGTTCTGTAGAGAGAGAGAGAGAGAGAGATGTGTTGAAAATGCAGAAGAATCTACGCGTTGATGGAAGAAGAATTGGAGAGTGTAGAGAGAGAATGTGAGTTCGAGAGAGAAAGAGAGAGAGGGAGGTCCAAGGTTGGGAATGAAAATGAAAAATCGATATGTAAATTTGGGGGGTTTTTTTTTTTCTTTTTTCTTTTCTTTTCCCGCCTATTACATTTTTACCAGTGATCGTGGTTAGGTTAGATTCTAGTTTTCTAGGGTTAGTTTCTCTCGCTCGAATTTGGTTAAAATGTACAATAGTTTAAAATAATTAATGAAATAAAATGTTAAATTCAATTTATAATTATTTTATTTTTTTCTTATAATTATCAAATTAAAAAATAATAATCAAATGTCTAAATATAATTATTTTAATCAAACTAGGGTAAATTACAAATACACCTCCTGAAATTTGTTTAAAATATGAATTGTTTTCCATAATTTGAAAAATTACAAATATTTTCTTATTAGATATTTTTATTTAATAGAATTAATTAAAAAAGTAAAACTTCTAACTGTTCACATATACAATTTAAAGATTTTTTTATAAAAATAATTTAACAATCTCATCACTAGCCATAGTGTATGGGAGAAGTTAAAAAGGGCGTAGGAGTAGATATATGAGAAGTCAAAACATGGGTTGGGAGAAGTCAATAAATGCTGAGTTTTAAATCAAAAAATCTTTAAAAAAATAATTTGATTAAAATATCTTCCTGTCAAATTATTTTTTTTAAGATTTTTTTATAAAAATAATTTAACAATCTCATCACTAGCCATAGTGTATGGGAGAAGTTAAAAAGGACGTAGGAGTAGATATAGGAGAAGTCAAAACATGGGTTGGGAGAAGTCAATAAATGCTGAGTTTTAAATCAAAAAATCAGAAAATTTAGATTGGGATATTAGAGCACCCACAAGGCTTACGGGTTAGAAACCCCATTTTCCTTAATATATAGACTAGCCTATCACCCGTGCTATGCACGGGATAATTATAAATATTGATATAGAGAGTTTATCCTAATTTTACTGGAAGTCCAAGATTAGCAGTAATCCTAAGTCCATTAGACCTAGGCTTCTATTGGGACTAGGATAGTGTTGGCTATAAAAGGGAGGCACCCACATGGGTCTAAGGTATGCTTTTGATATTCGGTCTAGTGAGTTAAGTACTATTAGTTATCTTTGAGAGATATTGAGTACTGACTTGATCGTCGGAGTGCCGCCAGGTGGACGAGCCACCGCCGAGATCTCTTCTTTCTGTTGCAGGTCGCTCGGGCTTAATCTATTTTGCCAGTGCTCTCCAGCTGGGTACCTGTTTGGCAGTGTGATCAGAAAATCACCCCCACAATTTGGCGTCGTCTGTGGGAAAGAAAGGAGAATAGATGGCCAACGACAGACAGAAAGAGAAGGTTGGGGACGACACCCCTACTAAGAATCGGAAACATATTGACTCAGACGTTGAAGAAGTCAATTGCAACGAAGAAACTCGTGATAAGAATCACGGAGAAGAGAATGTCGGCCAGGAGGGCGACGTGCCGAAGAAATCAGACCGAAGCGAGTATTATAACGAGGACGACCTCCAGGTATGGAAAGAAAGATGTTTACGAAGGGACGATAAGATGAAAGAAATGGTGAACAAATTGGCGGACCTGCAAACGGTTGTCAATTTCATGATACAGAACAACGTCATGCAGCCATCGTTCCCATCACAAAATACGCCGATTCCAGCAGCCAAGAAAGATGCCCAGGCAAGGGGGCAAAAGACAACTCCTACGGCTCCTCAGCACGATAGGACCAAGGAACATTCTCACCGGCCTTCAAGGGAGGTCGGACGAGGAGAATCAAGAAGGGGAGATTCACAGAGGACACATCGCACCAAGGAAGCTGACTCCAAAGAACATCGGCATGTTCAGGAGAAGGACCTCTGTTTCGACGCAACCAATGGAGGGAGGTCCAACAAGACTCGTAATGACACAGGAAGAAGTGCACCAAAGAGGCTGAAATCCGGAGATAGCTGAGCTCCTAGACGAACCAAGGAGGATCTGAGGGATTACCACCAGAGAAAGCGACAAGATGCTGAGGTGACCTCACCTGTCAAGACGAGATAACACTGGATATGAGAAGACAAGAGCTCAGCCCAAGTAAGCCGATCCCGGATTCCAGATCTCGGATCCCAGATCCCAGAACACAAGATCTCGGCCTAAGATGATTAAGTCCGAAAAGAGAAGAGTTTACCGAGATTATGTTTAACACTTGTTGAAACTTGAGAAAAGTTTACAAGTTGAAGTTAAACCGAGATAATGTTTAACACTTGTTGAAACTTGAGAAAAGTTTATAAGTTGAAGTTAAACCGAGATTATGTTTAACACTTGTTGAAACTTGAGAAAAGTTTACAAGTTGAAGTTAAACTAGGGTCATGATTAAAGGAATGAATGATATAGGTTCCATCACCTCAAGATGCCGAGGTAATAGAACCTAGGGACAGTTGTGGGGACATAATTTTTGAATGACAACACGTGGCTGAGGTGTTACCGAAGTGCCAGCTGAGGTGCCACGTGTCCTGGTCATGACGCCGAGGTAATCTCGGCTAGGCCGAGGTTATCTGCGAGAATACCAAAATCCGAGATAAGCGGATAAGGGACAAGAGTCCTAGAATGGGAGAAGACTTCAGTTTGGGTAAAGATGAGACTCTTAGAGAGTTTATCCTAATTCTACTAGGAGTTCAAGATTAGCAGTAATCCTAAGTCCATTAGAGCTAGGCTTCTATTGGGACTAGGATAGTGTTGGCTATAAAAAGGAGGCACCCTCATGGGTTTAAGGTATGCTTTTGATATTCGGTCTAGTGAGTTAAGCACTATTGGTTGTCTTGAGAGATATTGAGTATTGACTTGATCGTCGGAGTGCGCCCAGGTGGACGAGCCATCGCCGGGATCTCTTCTTTCTATTGCAGGTTGCTCGGGCTTAATCTATTCTGCCAGTGCTCTCTAGCTGGGTACCTGTTTGGCAATGTGGTTAGAAAATCACCCCCAAAGTTACAATATTTTGTTATATCAATTTATAGCGATGTTACGTATTTGTGATTGATGTTATAAATTTTTGTGATAAAGTTATGCTAATTTGTGATAAGGCGCATATGATATACACCCTTCGAGGGGTGTGTACCGTAGAAATTACATCAATAGGTATATGTACATCCAACAAGCTAATAGTCTCCCTTTTTTTTTTCTCTTTTTTTCATTTTTTTTTTCAAATTGATCAACAAGTTGATAGTCTAAACAATATTATTTGAAACTAGTAGACTAGTATATTGGCCAAAAGTACCTCTATATTATTAGGAAGTTTGAGATTTGACTCTCTTTACTTACGTATGGATCTTTTCCTATTTTGTTTCTGCCCCTTTGAGAAATAGATTGCCTAATTGATGTTATACCCTTCCTTTTCCCCAAATCCCGATACCTTTGTGAATTGGATTTTCAAGAGCCCACCACATCATTGACTGACTGGAGTTAGGCCACAGATTTGTGCTAGAACTAAGCCCCATCAATGGTAAATTCTCTTTTTGGCCCAAGCCATTCGAAAGGGCCTGGCCTAAAATCACCTCTAAATTTACTGCGAATATATCTACTATAGGCCCACTTAAGCTTCTAATAAATGCAGGCATGTAAAGATTACCTTCAACGTTTTGTCTTTCTCCATGATTGCTTTGGTTGGGATTCTCCACCATAATTAGCGCCCAATTCTTGCATGCTCCACTCTTATTGTGATGTCCAAAACATTCCTTGATTCCTCTACCATGGAGACAGATAGCCATCTATTCGCAACTGTTTCATCATCAATTTTATTTGCCACCTCATTCCTTTGTGTATCGGCCACATCATCCCTTCCAACCACTCATTTTCCAGGTGTACTCACCACATCATTAGCATCTTCTCTTTTGTTGATGTCTCTCACGCAGCTTACACCATTTTTATACGAGCTATACGCATCTTCCTTCTAATGTGAGTTCTAGTATTTGCCTGATTTCACCATTGTTGTTAACACAACAACTATTCCTCATAGATTCTAACAAGATAAAATTTTCCTTTGCGCTCTAGATTGATCACTTGATTAATAACCTCCATACACTTTGTGGCTATTCTAATTCTTCCACAGTTAAAGGACACATCCGTAGGCACCTCATTTTTTACTGTCCTTAAGACTTAGGCGCTTCATTCCGAGCACTTGATGATACAAGCTACACTATGCAAATTATTCGGATCTTCAGCAAAGGAATTTGGTTTCGAGCTCTAATCCCAAACCTTACACCCCATTTTGGCTAAACTATTTTAGACCTTGAAACACTTTTTTGAAAATATTTTTCCAAATGTTTCTACGATATTCCGAGGCTCGTATTTCGATTAAAATATTACATTTTTCAGTAAAACTAATAAGGACAAAGTGAAAATAAATGGAAGGGAGATAAACTCTTTGAAAAATATTTAAAAACATCATAGTTATCGGTTTGGAGTTGAAGGAAATATGAGAGAATGGAAGAAAACTAGTTTAGGAAAAGGTTGAGCATCAAACCGTTACGCAAGAAATGAACAGCCTTCACTAAATAAGGCATATCTTTTTGAGGTTACCACAATTGGAAAGTATACTTATGATGCTTCAATTTAGACTCAAGAATCACCTAAAACCGAGTTCGGATGAGAGATACACTTGTTTGAAGTCGTACTAGAAAGCAGTTTTTTTTTTACCCGGCCGGGTTTGTTTAGATCCGGCCATGGCTGGTTTAGACCCGGCCGGGTTTTAATGAAAAATAGTTCATAAGTGCCTTTTAGACCCGGATTTTCATTTTTAGGCCCAGCCGTGTGTTTTGTGGCCCGGCTGGGTCTCATTAGCGATAAACAAAATAACTGGTAGGAATTCGCCAGTTGGCCTTTTTTGATGATATTTATGACCAATTTGGCTTAAACTATATAAATTCGACCTCTCCCTTCAGAATTGAGGGTTAGCAAATTTTCTAAAAGCTTTGAAGAGCTAAAGAGACCCTCATTCATCTTAAACATCTTTCTTCATCTTCAAACCTTTTTTAGCTATCCATACACAATACATACATCATATGAACTTGTTCTTAAAGCTTTTTGCTAGAGTTTGAAACC